AGAAATCGTCGATCAAGTGTCAGTTCTAATAAAACTTTTCTGTGACTGATCAACTGTTCTGGCATCTTGGCCTAGTACTGAAAACAAAGAACTTTTAAGCAAAATCCTGATACCAGTTTCAGTGACACAAGGTTTAGCTACCTAGCAACGAAGTTCAGCTTATGCCAGTCATGACAATAAAGCACTCACTTCGTAACATGTCATATTTGATGTTACGAGGGAGCGCTTTAACGGTTCAAAGACATTTTATGCCAGTGCACTGGTGCATAATGGTGGTCATCATTTAGCAAGATAATGCTAATTCACGACAGCAGACATTTCCAGGTAATATTTGAATGGTGTCACAATTTCCCTTGGTCTGTCGGATATCAATACCTGTCTTTAACTGAACATGCACCAAAAACATTTAAAAATATTGTAGAGACATTAAGTTATTTAGAAGCAAGAGACGTACAAAATGTGCAATGCCCTCACTGGAAGCATATTTCATAAATGCACATCTGTATAGCCAACATAGGAGTGGCTTGTAGAATGGACCAGTGAGCTACCAGTAATTATTTCTGTCATTTCACATGATCTTTGCCACGTTTTATGCAAGATGGTTGAAAATGTTTTGTCAAGACATTTTCTGTACAAAACAATTAAAGCATCATGCTTTTTTTTTTTTTTGAAAATTTTCAGCGTGAAGTCAGATCAAATATAAGCTATATATGTAAATAGTAGAAGTTTTGGCATTTTTATCGAAGTCTATATGAAAAAGATGAGCTACAATAATAGCTAACGCACAGTTTTGTTCAAAGTGAAATTTCCTAATTAGCATCCCTACACACTTAGCGTGTTAAATTTCACATTAATAATTTTTCACTCCTAAATGAATTACCTACAAAAGAAATACTCTTCAAACAGAATGAATTTACCTTATTCACAATGAATATATTTAATTTACTAACATATAACTTTTAATGTTAACAATCAGTATAATGAAATCATTCATATTATATATTTTGAATTTTACACTTTCAGAAATGAAAGGAATGCAAGCATTGAGATAAGAAAATACTAAATCCATTGCAACACTCCTGGTTATTTTCAGCTCAATTAAAAAAATATACACTTGAATTCTGTTAATCCACAGGTGTTAGTAAATGCATAAAATTCGAAGCTAATTGTAGCTTAAGTCATTTTCTCGTTATAAAAAGCAATAGAATGCCATGAACATTAATTCGAATATCCAGTGATTGATAAGTTTTACGAAAGTGAAATGTTGACGATTAAATAAGCTTTTAAAACAAAAGCACCAAGACATTTTCTACTAAAATGATAGTAGCATTTATATGGCATGCATTTATAACTGCAAAACAAAACTCAAAATAAAACATAAATAGTACAGTACAAAGTCTTTAATACGGACTTGTCGAGACTTCGGCGATTGCGGATTAGGGGTTTTTCCAGATTATAGATCATGAATTTAAATCTGGTAAGATAGCATGCAGAATTATAAAATTAAAAATATGAAACCGTAATTTATAAAATAAAGAGCAATTATGATCTAAAAGGCATCAAATTTTACAAAAAAAAAAAAAAAAAAAAAAAAAGCGTTGTCACAATAGCAATAAAAGCTCACTAGTCTATTTCTGAAATCCCTCCCTTAGTAATGCACTTGAGAATTATGCTTGCCAGAACTCGAATATGTGTCAAGTATGCTTCCAATTACATCATGAAGTCATATGGAAGAGAGGAACAAAATACATTATAAACTCCCCCTTTCAAAGGATGACTGGAGATTAGGGAACCCAATTGCCAAATCCTGGTGGTGAGGAATTATTGTCCACCACTTACAAAGTTATTAGGATTTTTGATGTTGGAGAGTGAAAATGTGCATTGCCCTCGCTGGGACTAGAACATGCTTCCAATTACACCACGTAGGCATGCGGAAAGGAGGGAGAAAATACCTTATATATTCACCTTAAATATATAATATGAATGATTTCATTATATTTCTATGCCAGCCGAATATCCTCAAGCATTGCCATCAAAGATGATGATATATAAATATGTAATATTTCTGGACCTAGGTTTGCTTGATTCTATCCCGTTTTAATCATTTCTTCGTGTTTATCTTCTCACCGTTTGTGTCACATTTCATTACAAATAAACATTTTCCTAGGTGTGCCGACATTTTTTGATACACAATATATATAACATAAAAATAAATTAATTATCTTCTAATATTTTCAGAGAAGCCCATGATCTCATCAAATATGCAGCAGAACAAGGAGTGGAAGAAGCACATGATGTCTTACACAGAGTTTGCTCAAAAGGACATTGTAAACACTGATATTTCCCATATTAAAATACCCAGGCTATAAAGCAAAAGAAAAAAAAAATTCCTGTATTGAGATGAGTATTTTAATTTGCCTTTCCTAGGCTTTTATTGTTACTCATTAATAAATGTCATTTACAGTTTTTTCGAACTGTATTGATTTTTTAAATTATAATCAGTAATCTTGATCAGCCAGCAGATAATATTGAGCTTGAGGTCTTCTTTTCGATTTATGTATTTTATTTTTTAAAATGATGATATAAAATTTCCATTTTAAAATGGCTGTATTAACCAGTATTATTTCAATCTGCTGTATCTAAAGAGATACAATACCTGGAATACCTAAGAGCAAGCCAAAATATTACATCTTGCATTGTGGAATGTACTATTTTCGGTAATAATTTTGATATATTAAAATTACTTGTGTTTTAAAAAATATATATTTATTAAGAAATAGTTTTCAGATTACCTTCTATTTAATTACATGTGTACTCTGCTCAAAGAAAAATTTTTGCAAGTGCAAAAAATAGAAAGCTTGCGCTTTTCTTCGCAAAATCAATGGTAAATAAGCCTGAAGCATCCTGGAATCCCGTTTTATATTTGCAGATGAATGCAAATTTAGCATTGCATTTTTGGTTCTGATGGGTGTATAATTGTAGGAGGAAAAAATGAACTTAATCCCAAGACTAGTTGGAACAGTAGAGCATGGTGGTGGAGGTGTCCTTGTGTGAGGGTGCATGTTAGTATCAGAATTAAATAATTTAGCATTTATTCGTGGCATAATGTGAACCGTGCTCTTAATTCAAATATTTAAAAAAATAATTTAAAATTATCTGACCAATACTTAGATACTGGAAAAACTATTTTTATCAGGATAAGGATCCTAAGCACATGACCTTTAACGTTCGCCTTTGGTGTGTCTATAATTGTCCGCAAGTTCAGAAAACACCACCTCAGTAACCAGATTTAAACCTAAAAGAATATGTTTAGCCACTGTATACATTCCACCACTTTACCTGCTTGGAAACATTTCTGCCTTATGAAAAGATGCTTGAACATTACAGGAATTTTTCCCTTCCCATTTTGGCTTGTATATAGGTTTTAATTTTGGGGCATATTTTTGAAGCACTCTCAGCTTACACTTGAATTATATGGTATTTAAAATGTCTCCTCCTTATCAGGTTTTTTTTATTTTAAACTGGAATAATAATTTCTTTTTTAACACAGCTAATTCTTACAGTATAAATTCTGATAATCATTGAGAATCATCCAGTGATTTGCTAGAAGTTTTCTCTTTGCTTTCCTTAACTTTTTTGGGGGGAGGGGTATTAATTATTCTTCTTACGTAAATAATCAATGAGGTTTTCCTTTTTTTGATTTGACCATGTCCAAATGACTGTCAAAATATGACTTCACGATTTCTTATTCCTCAACCACTGTGTTTAAAAATACAGTAAAGTTTGTGAAAATTTCAAAACAATTATGTACATGTTAGCAGCTCGCAACAATCAAGATATCAAATTGATGCTATGCTGTATGAAGAACAATCAAAACTGCTGAACGAAGTATTTGTGAACATCCTGAAAAATGTAGTAGCCTTCACCTAAAATAAACACTCAACAAAACATACATAATGGCAAATATCAAATTAAACGAACTGTATATTATTATACTAACTGTTCATTGTTGTAAATAATAGCTGGTCCATGTGATAAATTCTTATAAATTATTCACTTTAACCCATTTATTATATTATTATTAACAATTAATTGCATTGACAGTACTAAAACATGTAAAAAAGGGCACAAATGTGACCAACAACAGGCATTAAGATTTTATGCTGCATATTTTATGTTAAGAATGTGCCTGGTAAAAAAAATATAAGAAGTGTTGAATTGTCCATCACAATGGCTAATATCTTTATCCATTGTCACTCCATCATTAAAATTGATTTCATTACAGATAACTAGAATGATTGCATCAGATGCATATTTATTTATATGAAAGCAGCAAAGAAAGTATAGACATGTACATTCTATTATAAGCATCCTGATAGACTCATCCCCTCTTTGCATTATACAGAAATACTACCTGCTTTCCTAATTTGACTGAAGGTTCCGGTATAAAAATATTAATAAAAAAATGGGAAAATTGTTAGGTTTCTGCTTACTTTAAAGATAACGTTTTGTATTCAAACTGCATTAGTATGTTATAACAATCAAACTGTATTAGAATGTTACAAGTCAAGAGCATGAAAACCAGTTTTCCATCTCCCTAAAAAAATCGATATTTTTTCTCATAAATTTTCATGATATATTTTTTCAACAAATGGATATAATATCACAATATTTCTATCAATCTAGAAAAATATTTGGTTTGATTATAAGTGAATAAGGTTTTATTTTCCTTTTGCTGTAATTAAGTACACGTATCATCTGTGTTATACAAGATCAGATAATAAGGATTAAGTTTGAAATGACATATTCCAGAAAGCTCTATTATAAGAATTTTACTATTTTTAGGAAAGAGACAGAGAACCAAATTAAAAAGAAAATTTTAGGGAAGGACTACAAATTAAATTAAGAATCTTGTCTTATGTACAAACTTCAAATAATGCACAATATGTTAAAAATGATAATTATTTCAAAGCAAAAGAATGAAAAAGAAAGGAAAAAAATTACAATATGAAAATATTTAATAACATATGATACATAAATTCACAAAGTTATAAAATTTGTAGAATAACAACATATTCTTTCATAGATATAATAAGAAAATGATTCAATTTTTGATGACAGAAGCACACCAAGAAGAAATTGGCAAAAAAATTGGCATATGATTTCAAGGCCACTGCTTTTGCATGGCTGAAAATAAACACAAAATTTCATAAATTATTAAAATAATTAACAAAAGACTATGCCTTCTATAACAGATGAAAATAATTATTTAAATTCAATTATTATATATCATCAAAATTAAACACTTTTGAAATTTAAAAATACATCAAATAAATATATTCAATGACAAAAATTTTATGTATTAAGCTGATGGACTTAGCCTCTCTTCAGCTGATATATAAATACTATTTGCTTTCCAAACCTCCCTAAAGTTTCCAAAATGGAACATTAATAAAAAATAGAAATATATTTAGTTTAACCAAACACCTGCTTTAAAGTCTTCCATTCAAACTGTATTGGACTACTGTAACATAAATGGTCATGTGTTTCTAATCACTGAAAGAAAACCAGTTTGCTGTTGCAGGATTCATACACATTTCAGCACACAGAAATTAAGTACTTTTGAGGATCATTAATAAAAAAATTAAGGACCTATTCGCAAATGGGAGCTGAATAAATTCAGTTAAAGGTATATCTATGTGCCACCCAGACGGTACAGTGGTTAGGAGAGTCTGACTGCGATACCAAAGGACCCAGGTTCGAATCCTGGAGAAGGCATGGATGTAAAATTGTTGTCCCTTCATAGGAGATAACGGTGACCACCTATTAGGTGCCTCCATAATAAAATAACCACCACTTCTGGCCTTAGTAGTGGCCAATGCAGTTTATAGGCAAGTGCCCACCATTAGGAAAAAAATATTATCTACGCCTGAACTTCACTTTTGTAATACCATCATAAAGAAAAAATAGATCAGTAAGTAGGATACATTATTGTTAACTATAATTATAAAAAAAAAAAAAAAAATTGAGAATAAAATCAACTTTAAATAAAATTCATCAAATAGCACTGAATATTTTGCACTTACAATAGTTGGACATATGTGAAAGAAGATTAGAGACATTTTACTTATGTTTTACTTACAGCTAGCTTTATACTGATTTTTTCTTTTATGTCTCATACTTGATCATTCTAGAGATTTCGTAAATAGCAGATAAATTTTATGTCAAATGGCACTGGTTAAAATGAAAAGTAAAATCATATCAGCATTATTTGTAACCAAAGTTTGGCTGTTGCCACCACTGCTGCCAGAAAAAACCTGAAAGGCTGTATGTATAGTCTGCAAGATTTGAAAATTAGTTGTGCTCTGTCTGTCCGATGCAGTTAGTGTGTAGAGCTTCAAGGCAAGAACTCGCTTTAATATGCTGAGATAATTTTAAGGCTGAGCAGTTAGTTACAAATAATTAAATTAGGTAGTTAGATACTCTTAGTTATTATAAATTTACATGGCCACCATAAAATTTGATTTATTTTTTAAAAATGATTGTTAAAAAAAATCACCATTAAAATAACAATCTAATAACATTTCACAGTTTAAAATAAAAGTCATTTATGACATTGATTCTTAAACAATATTAGGATAATTACACATTAAAATCCACAAAATATTTGTGTTTTGTAATAACAACACACAGCAAAATATGTATGCGCCTTTTTAATTTGAAGCCTTCCCAAATATTTTAGCTAATTCATTTCAATTTCCTTCTCTTTAAGCATATTTTCTAACAATTAGAAATTGGTTTCAATATGCAAACCAATGTTCCCACTAATTTCTGCATGCTTTATCGCCAAACTTGTCAATCTATCGACAATGTACCTATGAGGTTTTGCATTATCTGGTAAAAGTTAAATACAGTCAAAAGTCGTTAATTCGGACACCCATAATTCGGAATGATCTATAATCCGGACATCAAAACTAAAACTTTCTGCGCATGCGCCGCGTTGACACATGCGCAGAGGCGTTCACGCGTGCGCGTAAGACCTTTTACGACTGCGCATATGAGTGTGCGCAAGTGCAGAATACGTTTTCGCGTGCGCATTTTATGTATAATGGACGTATAAGCTAAAATTATCTAATTATCTATTTCAGTTAATGTTGATGATTGCGTTGTTCCTTAATTTTCGAATTGCATCCGGCTTATTATTTTTTGCAGACTGTAAGAGCAATTTTATAAAGGTAAGCTTAAACTTTCGATTATATCAAATAGAATTTCCGATATATATTTGTTAATATGTAAAGGATCTAAAGCGAAAGTATGTTTTGAAATCCGAAATCTGTTTATCATTTTCACGCTGCTCGGCGGCGGGCGCGTAATGAATTGGAAGTTGATTTGTCAGCACTATCCTTATCTTCAGCGCAGATGTTTTTTATTTTATTTGGCTTATAATTCCTTACCAAATGTAGTATTTCATCTCGATATGCTCCGTCTTTGATATGATTTAAAACAAGTTCCTCGTCATTATAATTCGCTTCCGATAGCGAAGAAAAGTGACAGAGGTTATTGAAAACAAAAAATTTCGATTGACAAATTAGTCGGTGTTCTTGACACAGCAATTATAGGACTTGAACGGCGGAACTTTGTAACTGAACAAGAAATTATGTCTGTTTAATAGAATTAAAGAGAAAGTATTATCACATGAAACGAAGCAAAACTTAAACAACTTACATTGAAAGAAATGTTTAATAAAGTAAACAAATAAATATTAAGCTTTTTCTTTTTGCAAATTTTGATACCCTTTAGATCATAATTGTTCTTTATTTCATAAATTACGGTTTCATATTTTTAATTTTGGAATTTCTGCATGCCATCTTACGAGATTTAAACTGATGATCTATAATCCGGAAAAATCGATAATCCGGAATCGCCGAAGTCCCGACGAGTCCAAATTAACGACTTTTGACTGTAGTCCAAAAACCCTGACGCATGAAGTAAATTATTGCTATGTTTGAAAGTAAGTCAGATAAAGGTTTAAATAAACTTCTTACTTAAAAAAAAACTTAGAATATAAAGGCATGTTCTTATGCTAACAAAATAAACTACAGCTCATGGTGATGTAGTTAAACATAAACAGTCAAATTCAGACTAAAAATGTGGACTAGTGATCAATTTAATTTTAAGCTAAGCTGGATGAGCAACTCTATCGTCGTAACACATTCATATGCCAGCAGCAATAAAACAAAAATGAATAATTGAAAATAATCAGACCTGTTAGGAAGTAATGCAGCATGCAAGCCTAAGCCAGAAACACACTCTGTTTTACAATAAAAAAAACATCAGTTTAGAAACTAACTGATTTTGCATTCTGGCGAGGAAAAGGAAAGGGGAAGTTATAGTAAGGACTAAAATTATAAAACAACTGGTTAATTTACATAATAATAACTGTATATATCTTTGAAGAATAATTTTCTTTCTCTTTATGTATTCAGTTTCTTTCTTCAACACATTTCCTCTTTATTTTGGAATTTTTTGGATGCAATTAAAGATTTCTGTTATTCTAAAAAACTAAAGGCACAGAAAAGATGCTAATTTTATTTCTTTAGTAATAAGAAACATTCAGAATAAATATGAAATGATACATGGTAGGGCCCAGTTACAAAACCAATGTGGCAGAATTTTTAGAATTTAGTGACCAACCAAGCAAAAAATCTAGAAACAGCAAAACTTTTATAATTTAGGACAGACAATGAAAACAGAATATAGAAAGGCAATAGGCAGCAGAGTGACTCCACAGTGATTGCATTAGGTAGGAAAATGCCTAGCGCTAGCCCTGTGAATGATGAGTTGAGACATACAAGATGAATCTTTTAAATTGTCAGTTTTCAATTTCTTTATAAATAGAAAAATTCCTTTCTTTAATGCCTGTTCATGTGATAAGATTATAAGCACTTTTTGATATTTTCCACACATTTATTTTGAGAAAAGCAGAGAAAATAGAGGAAAGAAAAACATGTTAAGAAAAGGACTACTGTCAGAAGTAAAACATTCAAATATTATGTTTTAATTCTTCTTCATAAAATTCTCCAAAAAGTAAGAAATTCACCACAAACTCTCTGTAAAATACATGCATTACATGTTAATACCATCATGACATTTTTCATTTTTCATTGTCACATTTTTCTGGAATATTCTAGAATCTTGGTCTATGTATCTTGAATTCAAATCCTTCTAAACTTTCCAAGTTGCAATGGCTAAAATCCCAAAGAAAAATTTCTCTGAACCAACATATTAAGTCTTTTTTTCTCTTTTTTGGTAGCAAATCGATCTTTTTCCATTGCAATAAGATAAGTATATCCAAGCCTCATCAACTGTAATTACATATTTCCATTTCTCACCTGCCAAATAATTTTCATACAATAATCTGTACATAGTCTTATGCTGAGTCGGCATTAGGGATAAAAATCACGTTTTTTGTTTTGTTTTGATTAGCTTTATATCAGATTTTATAATTTTTTGTTCACAGTTCCTACAGAGCTACTTAAAGATTTTGCAATAGCTCTTTGGGGGGGGGATAGATTTTCCTTTAAAACATGAGAATGGCCACCATAAAATTTTATTTATTTTTTAAAAATGATTGTTAAAAAAAATCACCATTAAAATAACAATCTAATAACATTTCACAGTTTAAAATAAAAGTCATTTATGTCATTGATTCTTAAACAATATTAGGATAATTACACATTAAAATCCACAAAATATTTGTGTTTTGTAATAACAACACACAGCAAAATATGTATGCGCCTTTTTAATTTGAAGCCTTCCCAAATATTTTAGCTAATTCATTTCAATTTCCTTCTCTTTAAGCATATTTTCTAACAATTAGAAATTGGTTTCAATACGCAAACCAATGTTCCCACTAATTTCTGCATGCTTTATCTCCAAACTTGTCAATCTATCGACAATGTACCTATGAGGTTTTGCATTATCTGGTAAAAGTTAAATAGTCCAAAAACCCTGACGCATGAAGTAAATTATTGCTATGTTTGAAAGTAAGTCAGATAAAGGTTTAAATAAACTTCTTACTTAAAAAAAAACTTAGAATATAAAGGCATGTTCTTATGCTAACAAAATAAACTACAGCTCATGGTGATGTAGTTAAACATAAACAGTCAAATTCAGACTAAAAATGTGGACTAGTGATCAATTTAATTTTAAGCTAAGCTGGATGAGCAACTCTATCGTCGTAACACATTCATATGCCAGCAGCAATAAAACAAAAATGAATAATTGAAAATAATCAGACCTGTTAGGAAGTAATGCAGCATGCAAGCCTAAGCCAGAAACACACTCTGTTTTACAATAAAAAAACACCAGTTTAGAAACTAACTGATTTTGCATTCTGGCGAGGAAAAGGAAAGGGGAAGTTATAGTAAGGATTAAAATTATAAAACAACTGGTTAATTTACATAATAATAACTGTATATATCTTTGAAGAATAATTTTCTTTCTCTTTATGTATTCAGTTTCTTTCTTCAACACATTTCCTCTTTATTTTGGAATTTTTTGGATGCAATTAAAGATTTCTGTTATGAGATGTGACTTTAGATTTAATGAGAGCTGTACATACTGTAAACTTTGATGCTTTTTTCCTTTCACATTAATTATGTCACTTATTTTATGTGCAGAAGTATTAAACCATGCTTTTCACATCTTTTGTTTAATAACTGAATAAGAGTATTTCTCTTTAGACAGCACAAAATTATAGGCTTCACTAAACTGTTTATTTTTCAGCAAAATTTAAAAAAGAATATTTTTAATGCTGCAGACCATAATTAAACATTTCAATTTGATGGCAGTTACATTTGTATTTTAAAATTAATATTGAAATTCATGGAGAAAATCAAAATTGTTACAAAAGTGTGTAAACACTGTCTGTATATATAAAGAAAGAAAACGAGCCAGGTAGTCTTCGACTTACAACAATTCACTTTTATGACAGCCGAAACTAAGATAAAAAAAATTCAAGAAGCTGGATGTTATTGCAAAATATATTAAGCAGGGCGAACACTCAATTAGACAACAGTGCATTTTCTAATTAAAGAAATTGCTCCCAATTCCAATGAAACATCCAAATGAATACTGATTATTCATCTGTTATTTTTAATTAAAAACATCATTTATGTGATTTTATGTTTTTATTCCTGTTAACCAATTTAATAGAAGAATATATGTATTTTTATAAAATATGTAGGGCTTATGCATAGGTAAATAAATGTTATATAAGTTTATTAAATCTTAAGTTTGATTTCTACTAAACAAAAGCCTAATTTATAAAAATATTATTTAAGCTATGAAGAATACAACAATTCCCTGAATTACATCAGAATTGACTTATGATAGGACCACTGTAACGACACTCATCATTAGTTGATAACTATCTATATGTACATAAATACCTGATCATGGCAATTCATAAACTACCCAATGAACATTCAACAATTCATGTAATGTTCTAATGAACATCAAAATAAGATACAGACTATAAGATTTCTAAAGGCAATGATTCCTGTAGCAAAATAAGTTACCTTGGATATTCCACTTTAATTTTATCCAGAATGCAGTAATACATTGATCTTGTTAGTTATAATAGCATTTGTAAGAGCAAATGATTCAATCTCAGTAACAAAATGCCTCAGTCTACTGAACAAAGGGTTAAGTCTTTAATAGGGAAAATGTATCTCAAACTTCCAAATTTTGAGTAAGTTAGAGAATGATGCTTGCCACATACAGGTAGGTTACAGCATCTCTTGTTACATTATCACCATTGTATCATCACCAGACCTAGTACCAAATGTCATCCTAGCATTTTAAGAGTGAATACACAACCAAACTTCTTCCAAAAGTGGATAAAAGCAGCTTTCATAGAAGCTAGAAAGATACACTGTGATATAAAAAGACATCTTCATATAATTTGCAAGTATGTAAATATTCCACTTTTCCTTTCATTTCATTTATCCTAATCATATTTGAAGCCCTAGTAATTTAGGATGTGTACTGAATTGGAGTACTCAGATTATGGTAAAGCACTCAAGAGTTATTTGCCTAAGAAAAGGGATACATTTTCAGAAGACTTGTAAACTGGCTCATATTCAGGTTTCATATTGGAGAAAACCAAGAAAACTCTCATGCAGCCAGCCCATTTGCCAGGATATGAACATGAACAGAACAACCAGTGTTTAGCAAATTTGTTTTATTATTACAATTACTAAGAAAATTTCAATTTCTTTACAATGCTGGAGCTGGGGACTGTTTTTTAATTTATCAGCCATTTACAAAGTAATGCATTAAAAAATAAAATACTTTTATTTACTAGATCCATCCCATACAAAATTTATTTTTTGATGTTGGAGAAGCTTTAAGTCTTTTCATTGCTCATGTCATGTTTGTTATATGCTACTACAGCCTTAACCTTCCAATATATTACTACAGCATTCTAAAATGCTACGAATAAGTGGTATTTTCTTGAATATAATTCCACAATGATCCTTTCAATTTGTACCGTGACTCCGTTTCTTTGGACATATTTTAAGATATGTGTCTATGTACTTAAATGTATCATGATAAATATATTTTTAACTTATATATATACATAACCCAGTTACTCGAAGTACTTATCGAGAAATGCATTTTGAAATTGCAACAGTGTAATGAACTGCATGCTTTAAAAATAATATATATACTTCATAATAATTAAAAAAAAAATTGGCTCATGTATTATTCTGTCAGCCATCAAACTGTTGCCAAATAGTGTGATTTAATGCCAATATTGGATAATCCTGATGTAACAACACACACATACTTTCTTCACTTTCATCTGGCATAAACCTGATTGATTCTCAATAAGGCGGATTGGGTTTTTATGAGCAAAGATATAAATTAACTGTTTCTTCTGCATATTTTCTGACACGTGGAAACAGTGATTAAACTTTGGGATCTGCTTCTACAGAACAGCAAGCACTGGGTTATTTTCAATGTTATGGGATCCTAGCATATATATATATATAAAAGGTGTATTAATGGACATAATATGGTCAACAAAAAAGTAACAGATTGGAACAATTAATTACCTGGGAAAGTCTGTATTCATAGCATTCTAAACACAGCTTCCTGTAAAACTTTAGGGACTAACAGAATAATAGACTTTGATGAAAGCCTTTTGACAAAGCACAAAAATGAAGCAAGTTTAATATTGATTATTTATTAAGTAAAGAAGCGTCAATTCCTTCAGAATTTTCAAGATCAACTGGCATATCTTTAGCCAGATCTATGCTAACTTTAATGGTTCAATAGTAATCAACTAAAAATTTTTCATCTTTGAAAATAAGCAATACATTTAGAATAGAGTTAAAAAATGAGTGGCTACACTCAAAGCTTCTCAGTAATTTATATAAAGATTAAAACAATAATTTATAATTAGATTAAAACAATATATGTACTTCTTAAAAATGTTTAGTTTTTGTCTATCAAAATATAGCAGTAAACTGGTACTAGTGTTCATTAACCTTCTTACCAATTCAAACAAACATTACTAATTAAATCTTCTGAAATGCTATTTATCAATTACACCCATCACATACTTATAAATGTTTTAAACACTAGCACCACTAATGCATTTAATAAAAGTTATTCAGTTAAAGTATATTAATTTTTAATGTGTTTTTACTGTTTTCTGTTTTGCCAACATGTTTACTACCATTAAACCCATACGGAGCAAACCACAAAAGTAATTTTATCCAGTTAACCAACCATACTTTTTTTTTTCACATTCTTAAACTGAAGACAAGAGTTAGGAATTCTTCATATGAAATTCTGATCCATCCATCCAGATCTGTATCATGAAATCGGAATGCAGCAGTCAAACTCTAATAAAAGAAAAAATAAAACAAGAGGAAAGCTTTAGAGAAAAAAAAAAAAAAAAAAAAGGAAGGAAAACATTTTAATAAAACTTGAACAATATAAAACATTCAATAAAATAATAGTAAATTTACTTGTAGCAATACACAGCATTGTATGAAATCATCGAATTTTATAGTTCTTGTTCCATCTCTATCAAATTTTTGAACTAGAAGATCATAAAATGCATCAGATAAACGATAACCTGAAAAAAATAAATAAATGATCAGCCACTTCAAATGCCCTAGACACAATTTCAAGATACATACAGGATATTTCATATGGAATGGGACAAAAAGAACATCATAGTACAAATTCTGTAATTGATTTATTAAGCTGAAACAAATTAATTCTGTAACAACAAGTTCTACCTGGCAAGAGCGAAAAATCTTCCAGTTATGAAATCATTACTAGAGGCACTGTTAATCAAAATGGAGCCATCGATGCAGGAGAAAACGTACTGTGTTTTAGAATACGGTAAGACAACATCATTTATTGTCGTTCAATTTTTTTTCTCAAAATTTGGTATAGAACCACCACATCATCAACATCGAAAGGCAGGTAAAGCAGTTTCAGGGCAAAGGCTGCTTGTATAAAAAAAATACCTGCCCAGGATGAACAGTGACCAAAATTGAAGTCACTGAAAACATTCGTGATATATTTTTACAAAATTAGTGCATCATGAGATTTCTGAACTCAGTGTGGTCTGTATTATGGAGATGTCTACAATTCTGGCCATACACCTTTCAGATGGCGCAGGCATCAAAACCTTCCAACAAACTGTTACATAGAGCCTTTTGGTGAGAATTTGTAAGATAAGCTGGAGGCGGATGATTTCGCAAACAGACTTTAGCTAATGTATGAAGACACATGATCTAATACATTCAATAGCAGGTTGTGCTCCAGTGAAAAGGCAGAGAACAGGCATTCTGCATTAATAACATTTTGGTCCTTTGTTTCCACAGAAAAATTTAATGTTTTTTTTTTTTTTTTTTTTTTTCAATAGAACTTATGTTGTCCTTGTATACTTACATGTTTGAGGCCCTTTCACCATGTGAAACCGAAAAATTGCAATGGCAAGGGTACACATCGCAAATGTATTACATTTTCTTGAGGAAATAATAGAAGTCAAGTCATCTGTATACGATTTTTGAAAAAGACATGAGTATTTTACCTTTTACGCAGACATAACTAAAAGAAAAAATCATAATTTCTTAAACTATTTCTCGAACAAGATGAACGAAATAAAGCCTTGACCTTGCTTTTGCATAATCTTCAAAAATATCAAATGTTCAAAATTTTCTACAATTTCAATTTTTCATTTTGAATGTTTAAAAAATAAAAGAGACAAATATCATTGAGATCATTGATATTTCGTAACTAATTCACTTACTTTCAAAGTTATTTTAAATGCAGAGATTTTAAATCCTCAATTTACAAACAATTTTCTTCTCAGTTTTATTCCATATAACAAATTAAAAGAAAATCTTTATCCTCTTTTTTGCTTCTTGTATTAATGAAGGAAAACAAAGCTTAACTATTATACAGTAAAAGTTTCATAAATTCCAGTCATACAGTAAAATACTTTTCGATTAGTCATCCCCTTGAAAAGTATTCACATCTATTTCACTGAAATGTATTCTAGGGGGGAATAGTATTCATTTCATGCGCTACAAAGCAAATGCATTTATATAACAACCAAGGCATGCGGGTGCATGCAGAAGACGAGCGTGGATTTTCCCTTTCAAATTCGATGATCATTCACATTTGTTTTTATTGCATGAAAGTCATTTTTTCTTCTTGTAAGGAATTGTGGAATTGATGAAAGAAAAAAAGCATTGCATTTCTTCAGAAATATGGCATTTTTCCCAACAGTAGAGAATACACAAATGCACTTCCCACGAAGTTATGCTTTATATGGTTGCAGTTTACATATCAAAATTTCTGAACCAATGCTGATAATTTACAACTCTGTGATTTTTTTTTAAAGAAAAAACAGAGTGCTATATACATGGGGGAATAACAGCACACACAATATCAAATTTGTGAAAATCTGATCTTCTTTTAAGTGAAAACAGATAGCTGTGTATATGTGAAGAATGAACAATAGTGCAAAAATAATACGTAAATTACACAAGGACTTTTTTAGAGGTAAGTGTTTTGCTATGGATGTTTTCTTGCTTTTTAAATTTTATTCATTTATATTCCTTTTATGGAATTCTTAGAGCACTGCCATTTTTAAAATTGCTGTTGCTGTTCCCATATCAGCCTGGTGAAAAATTAGTCGCCAATAACTTGGTAACTTTTTGAAGGGAGATATAGATAATTAAAAAGTGTATTTCTATATTTTAGAGTAAGGCTGTAAGGTATTTCTCCCCCCTTCCTATCATGCCTTCGTGGTGTAGTGGTTCTGCACGCTGGGCCGATATTCCAGGGGTCCGCGGTTTGATTCCCGCCGAAGGCGTTTGCTCATTTTTCATCTTTCCTGCTTCCAATAGTATTCACTTCATGTCTCTACGGTGGCGCCCGAACTAAAAGGGTGTTAGATGATGATTCTCTTCACCCAGGATTTGGCAATTGGGTCCCCTAAAAACTCCAGTCACCCTTTAAAAAGGGGGAGTATATAAAGTATTTCCCACACCTTCCTAGTGTAGCGGTTCTGCATGCTGGGCCGATATTCCAGAGGTCTGGGGTTTGATTCCCGGTGAAGGCGTTTGCTCATTTTTCATCTTTCCTGCTTCCAAATTACCTAATGTCTGTACAAGGCATAATGCTTTTTTTTAATTTATCAAATAAATCTTATTATATTAGAACAATTTAAGTTGAAATACTGTAACTTAAGTGTATGTCCAATAGCAATTTATATTTAACAATAGCACAATACTGCAAAATGTGAAGGGAAAAAAAGTTCATGTGACTTGTTTTTTTCTCATTAATACAATATGAATGAAATAATAGAATTTTATGTGACAAGATTACAGCAATATCTAAATATCTAATATATTTCTAAGAGCATACATTAAATATGCCAAACACACTTTTCACAGTGTGGAGTTAAGTTATTTGAGTCTATTTATAAAGATGAAAGACATATAAGAGAATGTTTTGATCTTCTATTAAAGATAAGTAATTTTTTTTCTCTATTATATCAAAAAAAAAAAAAAAAAAAAAAAAAAAAAAAAAAAATCGAATTTTGGCCCCCCAAAACATATTTTTAATTATAAATAATTTAAATATTTTTTCAAATTGATAATGATTTGCTAATTTTTCAGAACTTCCAAGAAGCACGCAAACAATGACAATTAAACAACAAACAATTTGCACAAAATATTCAAACATTATACACATTCCAATTATGATAATTAAAATACCATTCTTAGTACTTAAAGATGAATCAGTTCAACCTTATATAACACATCACATTAAACATAATAATTTTAAAATAGCTTACCAAAAGTCGTGAGGGCACTCTTCAATTCATTACGATCTATATTACCTGAACGATCAGTATCAAAACTTCGAAAGCAATTTAACCAGTCTGTTATATATTTCCACAAAGCTTTGAATTCTTCAAAGTTGATGGTGCCAGAATGATCTTTGTCAAACATGCCTAAAATATAAATTTATAGTAGTTTAGCAAGCGGTTTTCAATCTTTACAAAACTGTAAATACACTCTAAGAAAAGGAGGAAATGTATCAGAGAGTTACCTGAATAAGATACATTCATAGATGTGTTGTAAATCTGTGGAAAAGAAATGATTAAAATTTTGAGGAAATGAATGCTTCGTTCAGGAAACAGCAGTATATAGTGAATAAATGAATAAGACATTAACCCCACCTCTGGCCTTTACACAAGCTATCATCCAGCTTGGCAATAACTTACAGAGTAGGCGAATGACACCTTACACGATTTCTTGCCAAACTTCCCTCCAATCTCAAGCTAAACTGGCGACACCCTAAAACCTTGAGAAAGTTGGATACATCTTCTCATAAGATCCCAAATACACTATACTAGGAAGAAAGCTGTCAATTTAGTTGGCAGGGGTTATGTTTCATGGTCTTTACTTTTAAGGACTTTTAAGGGCCAATTATGAAAAAAAATTAAGGACCTATGAGCAAATGGGAACTGAATAAATTCAATTAAAAATATTATTCTATGCCTGAATTTCACTTTTGTAATACCATCCTAAAAATAAAATAGATCCCTAAGTAGTATGCATTTTTACTAAACATGCATTATTAACTAACATAATTATTAATTGTTACATATATGTGGCAACACACTAGTTGCTGGTAAACAAAGTAGAATGGCAGTGGTTACAGATACATTCTAAAGCATTCAGGGAATTAAAAAAATTAATTTCCAATGCACCTGTGTTAGAAATATTTGATAGCAGTAAACCTATAACTATACAGGCAGATAGTTCTAAAGATGGGTTAGGCTGCTGCTTATTGCAGAATGGGCAACCAATTGCTTTTTCGTCTCGGAGTTTAAATAATGCAGAAGAAAAAAAAAAAAAAAAAAAAAAAAAAAAAAAAAAACTATGCTCAGATTGAGAAAGAATTTCTTAGTATTTTATTTGCTGCTAATAAATTTCACTATTACATTTATGGTAGAGAGGTAGAAGTGCTTACTGATCATAAACCATTAGTTTCAGTTATGAACAAAAATATTGCTAATGTGTTGTCAAATAGATTGCAGAGGATAAAAATTAAGCTCTTAAATATAACTTAAAACTTAAATATTTGCCTGGGAAATATATGTATATTGCAGATTTACTGTCACATTCCTTTATTGATAACAACACACAAATGAAAACATGGATATATGACAGAGATTGTTCATACACTAACAAAACAACTGCAAATGTCTGAGAGTAAGAAAAGGGAATTTCAGAAAGCTACATTAGAAGATGAAGGGTTAATGTTAGTGAAAGAATATTGGCAAAATGAGATGGCCTTTGAGTGTTGATAAAGTTTCCTAAAGAAGCAAGATCTTATTTTAAATTTAAAAATGAATTGAGTGTTGAACAAGATTTAGTTTTTTTTTCCAATAATCGAATTGTAGTACCTGTTGCATTAAGGAAGTGTATGTTAACATTATTGCATGAAAGCTCACTGTGGGATTGAAAAATCAAAAGCTAGGGCTCGACAAGTACTATTTTGGCCAGGAATCAACAGTGACATTGAGAATATGATTTCTAAATGCCTAATTTGTGATAGGGTTCAGGCCTCAAACAGTAAAAGAACCTCTTGTTTCTCATGAAATTCCCAGTTTACCTTATGAAAAGGTTGGTGCTGATATCTGTGAGTATGCTGGGAAAAGTTATCTAGTAATAGGCTGTTACTTAACTAAATGGGTAGACATAATTCCTCTAAAAAATAAAAGTGGCAGTGGAAGTTACTAGTAAATTGAAATTGATATTTGCAACACATGGAATACCCAAAACTTTAATTTGTGATAACGTACCATTTAATAGTTGGAAAATGAAGAGTTTCGCAAGGGATTGGGGATTTGAAATAATCACTAGCAGTCCTCGATATCCTAAATCTAATGGATTTGCAGAAAAGTTGGTAGGTATAGCTAAGAGTTTATTTAGAAAAGCAGGATTAGAGAAATTAAATGAGGCTTTACTGGAATATAGAAATACTCCAATTTCAGGTATAAATTTATCACCAAGTCAAATGCTATTAAGTAGGAATTTAAGAACACGATTACCAATTACACAAACAGAATTGAAACCAACTGTAAAAGATCAATATAGAGAAAAGGTGAGGAGTAAGCAGAAACAGGCTAAAATCTATTATGATAAGCATGCAAGGGAAAGACCTGAATTTATTCCTGGGAAAAGGTAATGTTGAGATGGGAAAGTAAATGGGAGCCTTCATTAAAAAAGCATTCAACTCCTAGATCATATTGGATTAGAACAAAAGATAATAGGGTAATTAGACGGAATAATTCCATTTAAGAAAAACTAAAAATCAGAATTTAGTGACATTAGACTATTATGATCTATGTGAGGAAAATATAAGTAGTGAACATCCAAAAATACATAATGATCCTCACCATCAAAATAATAGCAATAATATTAATCGTGATTGTGTATATAAAACAAGAAGTGGTCGTAATGTATATCGACCATCCAAATATGATAATTATGTAATGCATTGATTCCTATGAGTTTCCCAAAAGAGGGGAGATGTTACATATATGTGGCAACACACTAGTTGCTGGTCAAACTGAAGTGAAGTAATTGTCAGTTGATGTTGGTCTGGAATAAACAATGTGCTATGTGAGAGTGTTGTAATGAACTTAATTATAGATCAATAAATATTAATATGATTAAAACATTAATAAGTTTGAGAATAAAATAAACTTCATGCAGTTATCAAGTAGCATTAAATATTTTACACTTATAATAGTTGGACATATAAGAAAGAAAATAAGTGATATTTACGTTTTACTAATCGTTAGCTTTTGTTGATTTTTTTTTTTTTTTAATGTCTCATTTTATCATATACTTGGTCAGTCTAGAATTTTAGTAAATAGCAGGGAGATTTTATGTCAAATGGCATAGGTTAAAATGAGAAGTAAGATCATAATCTGCATGATTCAGAACAAAAGACTGAATGTTGTCCCTCTGCTGCTTCTCTAGAAGCCATTAAAGCACCAGAGGTGATAAGTTGTTCTGTATATACAGGGTGTTTCATAGATCATTGGACAAACTTGGAGGGATGGTGAAGCGTACTAAAAAATGCATTTTTTTTTTTTTTTTTTTTTTGTATAGGAATGTAGGGTCTAAAGTGACGGGTTAAGGCAGGAACGCAAAAAAACGACACAAGAGGAAAATGTGTTTATGTACAAAATCAACGCAAAGTGCTTCTTTGCAGCAATACAGTTTTCACAATAAATGTTCAAAAAAGGGAACACTAACAGTAATAAGAACTACAGCTGTGATTGTCTGGCAATGCAGCGGTAGAAGGTGGTAGTGAGCCGGACAAACCACCACCCGATGCATCACAGGATCATTCGCAACTCTGATGTCGAGCGTGATGGACAAGTTTGTGCACAGGGAAAAAGCTGACATGAATCTCATGTATGCTGCTGCTAAAGGAACGGCAGAGCAGCACTACAGTTGTATCAGGAATGGTTTTCGAACAGGCGTATGCCAAAGCACACAATGTTCGAGAGGTTGCATCTGTCTCTATGCAAAAACGATTCATTTGAAGCCACCTCTGACACTAGGAGTGGAAGAAAAAGTGCACGACAACCTCGCATTGAAGAATCCCTCTTGAACATTGTGCATGAATCACCTCAGACAAGTACAGTCAAAAGTCGTTAATTCGGACACCCATAATTCGGAATGATCTATAATCCGGACCTCAAAGCTAAAAACTTTCTGCGCATGCTCCGCGTTGACACAAGCGCACAGGCGTTTACGCGTGTGCGTAAGACCTCTTACGACTGCGCATTTGCGTGTGCGCAAGCGCAGAATACGTTTTCACGTGCGCGTTTTATGTATAACGGGCGGTGTAAGCTAAAATTATATAATTATCTATTTCAGTTAATGTTGATGATTGCGTTGTTCCTTAATTTTCGAATTGGATCCGGCTTATTATTTTTTGCAGACTGTAAGAGCAATACTAAAAAAGTAAACTTGAACTTTCGATTATGTCAAATAGAATTTTTGATTCTGGAGCTCCCAAAGGATCGTACAAAACGAAAGTATGTTTCGATGTCCATCAAACAAAAAGTGGAATTGCTGCAAAAAATGGATAAAGACATGAAGAATGTGACAGAGAGGTTAGTGAAAACGAAAAAATTTCGATTGACAAGTTAGTCGGTATTCTCGGCACAGCAATTAACGGGACTTGAACAGCAGAACTTTGTAAGTGAACAAAAAATTATGTCTGTTTATAGAATTAAAGAGAAAGTATTATCACATAAAATGAAACAACTTAACATGAAAGAAATGTTTAATAAAGTAACAAATAAATATTAAGCTTTTTTTTTGTAAATTTGATACCCTTTAGATCATAATTGTTCCTTATTTCATAAATTACGGTTTCATATTTTTAATTTTAGAATTTCTGCATGCCATCCTACGCGATTTAAACTGATGATCTATAATCTGGAAAAATCGATAATCCGGAATCGCCGAAGTCCCGACGAGTCCGATTAACGACTTTTGACTGTAAAAGATGGCATCTCGTCTGCAGCTGAGTCATTCCACCGTTTGGAGAGTATTGCATGAAAATGGTTTGCACCCATACCATTTGCAGAGAGTCCAAGCCTTGCAAGAGACAGATTACCCTCTTCGAGTTCATGTCTGTCACTAGTTCTTGCAGCAGTGTGCGGCGCAGGCGGATTTCCCATCGGATGTGCTATTCACGGACGAGACAACTTTTTCACAGGACGGCATCTTCAATAGCAACAACATGCACCTGTGGCCAACTCATAATCCACACAGCACACGTCCACATGCATTCCAAATCCACTTCTCCATGAATGTGTGGGTGGGTATTGTTAACGAATACCTCATAGGCCCATACTTCTTACCTGCATGTACAAATGGCTTATGTTATCATATTTTTCTGCAAGAGGTACTA